CGGTCTGATTTATCTCTGGGCAAGCGCAAGATTAATAACAGAAGCAGTTTTGGACAAGGAGAGATTTGAGGGCCAATTGTTTAGATCAAGATGCTGAAATGTGGTAACACGTTAAACATATGCCAAACGCTTCTGTAAACATTGGGACAATCGATCCTGAAGTAGCACAAATCAATTAAATGTTTCATCTAGACCCAGTTACTCCGGCCACAAGCAGTGTCTTGCAAAAGCAAGTGTGATCAGTGACCTACAAGTTTAATTAATTCATTTATTTTTAAATAATTGTATCTTTATTATTTTGTATTCCTATTTTATTTTGAATAGCCTACTTGTTTTATATTCTTTCGTTTAGAAAGTGTTTTGTTTATTTTTCTATTTCATATTCCTATTTTATGTTTTATACAACATTTGTATGTACTAGATTTTATATTCTTATTTTGTGTTATTCTAATTCTTTATATGCATTTATATAAAAAAAATGTATGTACATTTTGCAATAACACAAGCAGTTATGGGCAAGAATGTTTTATTTACCTTTTGAATGTCATTATCCGTTCTCTGTTTTTTCCTATTTTATATTCCTATTTTATGCTGTACATTTTATTTTAATATTTTACTCTATTATATTTTAAGTTCTATTTATATTATATACTTTTATTCCCTTTCATTTAGAAAGTGTGCCTTTTCTGTAAGCCACTGAAATATTTTTTTACATTTTTTATTTTTATTTCTATTTTGTTTTATGCTTAATTCTTTAAATTGCATTTTTTTTAAATGTCATTGTGCCTTGTCTGTAAGCCACCTAAATGTTTTTGTTAATTTTTCCTATCATTTAGAAAGTGTTATGCTTTTTCTGTAAATCACTGAAATATTTAGTTCGTTTTTCTGTTGCATAACCCTTTTGTTACTTTTGTATTAGATTTTTGTTACTTTTGTGTCACTGTGCTTCTTCTGTAAGACATTTTTTGTTAATTTTTTCTATTTCATATTCCTATTTTACTTTTAGATTTTTGATTTTTTGATTTAGAAAGTGACGTTATGCCTTTTCTTTAAGCTACTGATTTTTTTTTTCTAACTTTGTCTAATTTATATATTTGTATTTATATGTGTGTTGTAACCTCTATTACATTATGCCTTTTCTCTAATCCACTGAAATGCATTTTTTTAATGTTATCTTTATACTCATATTTTGTGTTTTATATAGTGCAACATATGTCAGTGTCATGGCCTAACTTCTATTATAGGTTAAAGAAGAGCTTTTTAGGTCAGGTCATGTCCAAAAAGGGCTTGTTCTGTACTTGGGTTCTGGATGTTCTTTCGCTGTTCCTGCTCTATTCTATCTCTAAAATTATAGAACACACTCGTTGGTTCATAGGAATTTCGATTCAGGAACACATCCTACTTGAAGTGCTTTGACGTGTGGTGTTTATGCTGATTCTGGGTTGAATTGCAGTGGCGAATAGCTCGATAGTTTAAGCAGTTTGTTGTGTTTAAGGCTTACTCTTTAAACTGTCTCCCTCTGCTCGCAAATACTTATGACTGAGAAGAAGCTAAAACTTTAAATTACCTCCAGCAGGTGAATGCTTTGTCAGAATATCACTGCAGATATTAATGGCCATTTGTTTGTGAATGTTGTAGTGGTCCACAATTTTTCATTTTGTGTGTCAGCTCGTTTTCTGAACACTCAAAATCCAAGATGAAAACATTCATCTCAAGGTTTGCTGGGCCAGTATTGGATCAATGAATTACAGCATGGATTTTAAAGCTTTCAGTATAGGACAGAGCCATAAAGAATGGACAAGCCATTCCCATCTTCATGGAAATCCACGTTCCACAATAATTACTAGGATATAATTGCTGTATTATGCATCCACCTCCTAAAAAAACACCATGGGGAGCTATGATTCACTATGACTGAACGAGTATGGGAATCTTATCCAGAAAACGGCCTTAGAAAGGAATTCTGAAATAGTAAAGTAGTCAATAAGACATTTAATGCAGTTAACAGGGGTTAAATAGAATCCAGAGGGATTTGTGAAGGCATTTTGTGGTTTCGGGTTCTCCTGTGAATGCTGGGATATTATCGAGTTTATGAAGAGCACAGCAGTAATAGGTCCAGAGTGAGCTGTCATGAATGGCAGCGAGTGTTTTGAGCGTAATCCTGTCAGTGTGTTGGGGTTGATGTTTTAATGCGAGGTCAAAACTAGACATGCGTGTTGCCAAACACACTCGGACAAATGGATGCCTCCTGCTCAAACGTGAGGACTGATAACAGCGCAGCAACAGTCATCAGGCCTAGCACTGTTCGTTTTCCATTGCTCACTCAAATCCTGAAGCAGGGGCTTGAAAAAAGATTTGAAGTGCAGAGAGATCAAGCATGAGGACACTGTAATTTCCTCTCTTATGTACACCCTGTATATACTTCATGTTATAGGCGATAACTGATAAATGGTTTCTATTAAAATTCTATACTATCCTGTCTTAGTAAAGAGAAATAAAGCACTAAAAAGTAATTGATGGTTTTAAATGCTACAAGAGAATTTAGGCATCGTAACAGCAATGTACAATATGAAAAATGGATATAGATTGCGAGTTCTGTATTTACTTTTACTGTTACTTTTTAAATGGTTGTTTAAAAGATTCATATCAAATAAGCATTAGATGACAGTAAAAGTAATTTAAATGTAAAAATGAGAGAAAAATGAGCATGCATTAATAAATATATGTGTAAGTATATCAATATATTCTGTTTTAAAAAGTAAAATGAAAAAATCTCCAACATCAGCCACCATTCAAATATTGCCATATACATATATATATATATATATATATATATATATATATATATATGTGTACTTTTAATGTTGGCTGACATATATCAAATATTAAAAAATCAAATACAGAGGAGTATTAAAAAATATATATAATATGTATAATATATATCCAATACTAACTAACATGAAATATACAGTATATATATATAACATCGGTGGATGTATATCCCATGTATATATAAAATGTTTCCACCAATACTGACGAAAAAAAAAAGAATCTATCAGCCAGTAAGCAATGTTGACTGTGAAAACTGTGGGAAATGGGGCACCTCCTCCTCTTTCTTCTTCTTCTTCTTATGCTCTCACACCAGTCAGTATGGCGCAATTTCTCTCGTATGTCCTCACATGAGCTCTGGTGTAATTGAGGGATGTGGGAGCGGACGGGTGGACAGCTGTCAGGGGAAGATAAAGAGGGTTTCCGCAGGTGTTGGGGAAAGGGGAGCATCTGATGGAGGGCCTCGCTGCAGCAACCCCACTGGCTGAATTACCTGGCCGCTTTATAATTGTGTGAGAGGGGCGCTTCCAACAGCTCTGTCATTACTCAACTGACCGGGCCCGGCCCGGCCCGGCCCAGCGAGGGAGCTGCCTGCCTCCTTCCCTCCCTCTTGCTCTTTTCCCGTCCTGCACTCCTGTCCTCCTCTGTTCCCTTGTTCTTTCCTGTCTTGGGGTTGGTGCGGAGCTGTGAGCCCACTGTTTGAGGGGGAAACCATTACCTCTCATCAATCCCCCAGCTCTCCTCAGGGTGCTCTCTATTGTTATGGTGACCCACTAGTAGCTTTTTGCGCATTCTGGTCTTTTCCCTTTCTTTTTTTCCCCTTCTTTTTGTCACAATGGGGTCCACTTTGCTGCAGTGCATATCATGTAGCTCCAGATATCCTGTAAAGTGTGTGTGTTAAAGGGCAGGGAGCATGATAATGACTGTGAGGACTTCATAATTGCACTGTATCAAGGCCTTTTATCAAGAATGAGTCTTGCCTATTTAGTCACATCAATGTCATACCGTGCTATATGTCTCCACTTTGTCTAAACCATGACTGCACCCTCACCTTCCTGCACTCCATATAAAAGCCCTTGCATACATCACACCAGGGTAACAGGCTTGTCATTTAGATAAGCTAATCAACATGCTTCAAGAGCAATTTGCAATGCAGAGAAAAGAAAGAATACATGGTAATTACACAGAAAGCCTAGCAGTACGAGTCTGTAGACGAGCCTATAATTTTCTCTTTAGAGGCTTTTTACAAGGGCCATTTGCTCTAATGCTTATTTAACTGATGACTTTGAAAGTTAATCTAATTAAGGAGCTGAGGCTTCAGTGTTTTATGTCTAAAACACACACACACACACACACACACACCAAAAAAACTCTCCAAAATACCTTTTCTGTATGCAGAAAATGATCTTGATTTTTGTGGAAAATATGTTTTGTGTTCCCATCTAAATTTTTAAAATTTCCCCCTCATGTGTCTTGTCTTTTTTATGTGATCATTGAAAAGAAGCTGAATCTTATTGATAATTACTGGCTGATGATCATCAAGGGGTAAAAAGTGAAAAAGCATAAGATTTCTGAACAGAATATAAATTAAATCAATTGTGTTTGTTGCTTGTATAGTTTAATTTAGTAATTATTTTTTTATTTTATATGGTAATTTAATGTGTTAGGGGCAATGAAACATTTAGCTTAGCCTGAGCTTCTTAATTGTAGCTTTGTCTTTGAAGTCTATGTAATATTGTATTTGTGTATATTTTCATTTTTGCACAAAAGTTGGAAAGTTGTTAGTGCAAGATCAAATAATAATTAATCTCTGCAAATCATAATTAATAAATGCAGTAAAGCAGTAAAACAAGCTGAAACCCTTTTTTACTTATACACCATTTACATGAAAATATAAATGAATAGGATTCTCAAACAAGTATGACTATAATTTGAGTATTTGTCAGATTTGGGGTGAGGTTGGTGGTTCAAATCAAACCTTCCTTACTGACTGCATTCATGTTTCATGTCTTCAACAGTTGACCTCACTTGATTGACCTCACTGATTTGCTTGTAACTCAGGTGTGCGTTGCTGAATTGGGTATTTCATCAAATATGTACATCTTTACTGTTTGTCAAAGGGAAAGTATCTCATATGTGCCACTGATGTACGTGTGTTTCTGCATCCACAGAGGGAGGAACATGTGAGGTCATTGCAGCACACCGATGTTGCAACAAGAACCGCATTGAGGAGCGTTCCCAGACCGTCAAGTGCTCGTGTTTACCGGGAAAAGTGGCCGGAACAACACGGAACAAACCCTCCTGTGTAGACGGTAGGAATACAGATCTGACTTCACAACATCCTCAGTCAAAAATATCACCTTACCCAAAATGTAGCACCATTTAAGTGCAAAATCAGGTTTGGATGCCTTTTTCATGATCGGATGTAAGACCTTTTTAGGGAAATGTTACGAAAAAATAAAAAGCTTTCTCCAATGAAAATATCTCATAATATCTAAAATTATCTGACATTTAGGTCTGAGTAAAATGGACTGAAATGAATGGCATCTCAAAACAGGCTAAAGGATATTTTTGTAAAAAGACAAAAACAATGACACAAAAAATGAACACTGATACAAACTGCATAAATCACTACCTTATTGTTGTTCCTTTTTCTCTTTGAAGCTGCAGCAGGTGTGAAAAGTGCTTTGACAATTCCTGTGTGAGCGTTCGAATATGCAAAAACGAATGCCCATTATAAGTTTAGACAAGCATAATTTGGAATAACAGACTTTCAAAGCTTTCCTCAGATGACATTTCACTTCAGCTGTCAACTTGATGGGATTTTAGAGGATTTATTCAAATTTGATGCAAATGCCAAGGGGCCCACATGACCTCTCCACTAAATCAAGATAACCCTATGCTAACGCATAAATAAACAAATATTTAGAAGAACTATATGTACATATACTTTTCTTCGTGTGTCACGATTAGAGCTCAACCTAATCTTTAAGCCTGAGGCTCAAGATGTAACACATATATATGTATGAATATATGTATGTTTGTATGTTGTATGCAAGTCTCAATTACTCTACTATATATATATATATATATATATACACGTATGTATATATATATGTATATATGATGAGTTTTTGGCTCAAGGTTTGCATTTAAAATCACACCAGTCACCAGAGGTGTTCAACTGGGATTAGGACATGGCTTTCTGCAGACCAGTCAAGTTCTTCCACACTGACTGAATCAATCATTTCTTTTTGAACCTTGCCTTATACACAGAGGCATTGTCATGTTAGAATAGAAATGGGTCCTGTCCAAGCTGTTGTTATAAAATTAGAAGCACACAATTCCCTAGAATATCACTACTTAAACATTAAGATTTGTACTCATGGAAATTACTAAAGTAGTCAAACCTGTTCATTAGAAGGGGGTGTTCCAATACTTTGGCTCACTTTTGTGTATATAGCGACAGTAAATTAGTATTGCACTTGAGTTCCCTTCCACCAAAAGAATACAAAAGTGTTTGAAAGGTCACTTTTTTATGCTACATCACTTTCTCCATTCCTCAGAAGTCTTTTTCAAGCTTCAGATTCCACTCGTTTGTCTTTTGAATACTGTCAATGTGATTTCCCCGCCCTGTTCCACAACAGATCGTACTGAATGCCAAACTCTAGGTGGTACGATGCACTAGAGCTGGAGCCGTGCTTCTCTTTGCAGCATACTGATGTGATCTGTGTAATAGCATAAAGAAAGATTCACACTTCATGCCTCCATGCGTGTATCCTGCAGGGAAGGCCAGGTCCCGCACGTCTGCTAGTGTATCGATCAAGCCAGGCAGCTTGTTATGTGGGCAGGTGAGATAAAGAACGGAGTTGACAGACCACTGGGCAGTGATGTGTGAGGTGCTTGGTGCATATTGCATGTGTATGATTGTAGGTATTATGGGAAATCATGTCTTTGTTGACTAATAGATTAAGTTTTAACAACATTAAGTTAAAATATGTATATAATTGCTTACTATACAGGTATAGTGCATTATAAAACAAATTGAACATCGTTTCAAAAATTGAAATATCTCGACTTTAACACTTACATACTCTAATTACATTCAAATTGGTTGTGAATACAATTAGGTGTTTAGGTAAGTGCAAATGCGTAGTGTATAAGCTAAGCTGTCAAGCTAATTGGGTATCTGTATGTTATGCTAGTTCATAAGCTAACTAAAACATAAAACAGTCTTTAATGGTCATTAAAACATAGTTCAAACAACATATATCATAACATGTTAAAATAAATATCCAGTAAAATTAAAGCCCATTTAAAGTAGTCATTAAAAGGCAGTGAGGTCCTAATGGAGACCCAATTTTGAGGGAGGACCCGATTTTTCATTATACTGGATTGCATTCATACTACACAGATGCATATTATAAAAAACAGTCACAAAGTTCCTCATCAAATACAGTAGAATATATACCTACTCAGACGGAGGCCTCTCATTATGAAATTGAATTTGAACTAGCGATGGATTGGGCCGTTTCTGAGAAGTTGGAGTTACACAGAGGCAGCAGGATTGTGTGATATTGCTTTTACATAGTTAATATTGAGTAGCTTTAATATTGCCAGTTACTTTGTCTGTTTATGCACCAATGAAAATACTTCCAAAAGACGTCAAGCACAACCAACCAACTTCTATCATGTGACATGACAAATTATTCATTTTTACTTAATGCTGACATTTTATGCTATTTCAGAAATATATTTGATTCAAATTAAAGTTTTTGCAGAGAAAATAATCTTACATTTTCATTTTATTTTTAACCTACTAAGGAATAGCAAAACATGATGTTCCAGAAATGAGCTGTTTCCAAGTTACATGCAAGACTAGTTTTCCAGTGTTTGATGCCACATTGATGCTAAACTCATTTGCATTATGTTGTCTGAACACGAACCTGTGTATCACGTCTGGTCTTTGTGTAAATCAACACAATATTATTATTCATCAGAGTAATACACATAAACAGCTGCAGGAGTGTTTGAGTGAGCATATATGCTGAAGCCTTGTTCTGTTTCTGATTATGCAGTTGTGGAGGAAGTTCCCGCTTCCCTCATGTGTGCTCTGGCCTGGATATACACTCATCTTCTGCTTGATAATAATACTGTCTTTATGAGTAACGACTCTGTCGGCTGAGCCTGACGGAGACCTGAGGGAGGACCTGCGGGGACAGACTCAAACACACTGCTGCTGTAACACACGAGCGCGCTTATGCACATAGTCACACTCCACACACACACACACTTTGTCACCACCTTTCTCTCTCTATTACACACTCACACAATTTTTGTCGCCCTACTAAAATCTGTCAGCGAGTGTGCATGGGGTTCACATCCTTCACACGTGCCAAAGAGAGAGTGGCTAAATTTGGAGAGCCGTCGCCCTCCTGTCATCTGACTTTTTAGAAGTCGTTTAGGCAGAGTTATTAATGGAATAGCAAAAACATACATTCTCCATCTCTTATCACCTGAAGGGTAAACAAACAAAAAAAAATATGAAATTCTTTGTGCCGAAAAACTTCATATGTTTAATAGATCTAATTCAAACAGGCAGGGAAGCCGCAAATTAACACATTTTGTTTCATGTGGTAATTTTTGCTATTTATTCCTAAAACATCCTAATCTGGTTTGCTGTACTGAACTGTTCTGTTTCCTTGTAGAGTTTCCTGGTTTGGAGGTGTTTTGGGCTTTTTTTTATTATTAAAGCTTATAAGCATTTGTTTGGATGTTGGAATTGTGTTTCGAAAAAGTTTTTTAAAATATCTAATTCAAACAGGCTGGGAGGCCACAAATTACCGTGTTTAGTTTGCTAGTAATATTTAGTTATATTTGTGTTAAATTTCTGTAACTAATTAATGAAAAAATATCTTCAACCAACCAAAGCTGGTCTTAAGTGGTCTGTTGTCTCTTTGGCACTTTTCTCCAGCAAACCAATTTAAAATGGATAAAGCAATTTCGTTAAATAGATGTGTTAAAATTTTATTTTATTAGAAGTGCACTAGTTCAAAAATGCCGTTCTCATGGGAAGAAGCTTCTTAATTTAAAAAAAATATTAAGACATTACCTCCTTTCTCCACCTGAAGGGTAAGCAATCAAAAAATATGAAGAGAGACAAAAATTTGCTAATTTTGTTTCATGAGCTGAAAACACTGTTTCTTAAACAGACCTAAGATGGTTCTTTCCCCAGGCTAAACACAAGCAGGGTGGGAGACCATCTTAAACCAGCTAAGTCCAGCAAACCATTCTAGAATGATTAAACAGTTTTTATTTCAACAGGACTTTTGCTGTTTACATGTATGTCAAATCAAAAATAAAATCTGACTTTAGCTACCATAATCATGCCCATGTTTTTTGGGCACTAGTCTAGCTAATACAAGCTCTAAGGGGAAAATAATTATATCATTTACAGTATAATCATCCAACTTTATTATCAAAGCTCTTTTTTGTTTTGTTTTTTCCAAAATCCACTTAGTTCAAAATTCTCACAGGAACAATGCTTCTTTTATTAAAAAATTACCAACTTTTTCCACCTGAAAAAGGGTAAATTTAGTTTGGTAAACAAACCTAAAATATTGAATTCTCTGTGCTGAAATTCTTAATAATATCTGGTCTTAATATATTTAATTTGAAAAGGCGGTGAAGGCACAGATTAGCTAATTTTGTGTTAGATTGGGGAATTATTGTTTTGGGAGATATGTAGCTGTGCGCATAGAGACAGTGGCACAGTTAGTGGGAGTGTGCTGTCAGATTATCCCAGCATGGGAATTGATTATTAGCTTTGACAAGGAGAACTACGTCCCAGTTATGTCAGGCCCAACAAGACTCTTAGTAAAGAACATCCCTTTTAACATGTCAAATGCTGGGTTTATTCACCACATACACACATACGGGGCTGTTCACACACATAGGGATTAAATAACCCAGCTTTAGACCCAATTTTACAGGGTCATAAGCACAAAAAAACCCACACTCAGAAATGTTTCATCTTTCGCTAATGCTAACATTGTCTGAAAGTCCACTGCCGTTTCCACTTTTACATTCGTTCTGTTTTTTTCAAGCTGTTTTCTGTCCTTTTTCCTTTTTCCTCTTTCCTCGTCTCTATGTGTTGTACAGACATTCACACACACACCCTTTCCGTAACCATCACTGATGTAGAATGAGCCCTTCTGTTTTGCTGGGGGCCGTTAATGCAGAGCATGACAGGTTGTCATGGTGCATTTGATAGAAACCCTGCGGAACACACACAACCCAGATACACTTCAAG